ATTAGTTGTGGGGGGCTGGCCTTTCCTCCACACTTTAGAAGTATTCTCCTGGTCGAGTCTGATGGGGTGCCATACCCTAGCCCCTAAGTCTAATTTTAGTAATCCTTGGGGACTTCATTGTTTTGCTCCCCTTGCTGTGCTTAGTGTTTCTGCATCTCTCTGTTTGTAGAAAAATACAGTTCACACTTCAGGCTTCTCTAATACAGGGATGTGCTCTGTGTTCAATCAGACCCCAGCTGTGGTCTCTTAACCTTTGCGGTCAAGTTGATTCGAACTGATGGCGACCCATGTGTGTCAGAGCAGAGTTGCCCCACATGTCGTCTTGACAGAAGCAAATTGCCAGGCCTTTCTTTGTAGATGCCAATGGGTGGATTCAAACTGCCAATCTCTGGTACCCAATGCTCAGTACACTTGTTTATTCATTCGACAAATACATATTGCACATCTGCTATCTGAGAGACATTGTTTAAGGCCATCGGAGGAGTAGCAATACCAAGAGAAAGCTCTCTGACCTCATGGAGCACAGATCCAATGGTCAAAAAATGCCAACTCAAACTCACTGCCCTCAAGTCGATGCCAACTCTTGATAGCCCTAGAGGAGAGGGGAGGACCGCTGGTGGCAGTGTAGCAAATTATGATGCCTATTTCAGTGGGGAAAGATAAGTAATACATGCACAAAAAATGTTGTTCTGGAGAAAAACAGCTATGTAGTTAGAGATGGACCTGGTGGAGGCCACTTATCTTTGGGAAATCCTCTGAGAGGACCTAACATCTGAGCTGAAACCTGAGAAATGAGACTGAGACGGAGGGGGAAGAACATTCCAGAGAGAGGGAACATCAAGAACAAAGGGTTTAGGATGCTTGGAATACCTAAAGAACAACAAGGAAGGAGCCAGTGTGGCTAGATGGGGAGAGTGACAACAAGAGACTTCGGAGAATTGCACCAAGGCCAGACCACAGAACAGTGTAATAACAGCTTATGGGAACAGTATGGTATTCTGAGCGTGACTGGAAGCCACTGACTGACGTCATGTTCATCTGATCTGAAAGCTATTTTAAAGGGATCACTGTGGATTCTTAACGGAAAATGGCTTGGAGAGCGCAAGAGTGGAAGCGGGTAAACCAGTTAGGAGACGACTGCAGTAGTTCAGGAGAAAGGGGCAGTGTGCTGGGACTAGGATGATGGCAGTGGAGAGCAAGGAAAGTAGATGCATCCAGGTGACGTTTCCTGAGTTTGATGAAGGAACAAGTGTGGGGAGGGATGGAGAGCAATGAAGGAAAGTTGATTCCTAATTTCAAAATAAGTCTACTGACACTGCATGATTCCAACTACATGACGTTTTGGAAAAGGCAAAACTGTAGAGACAGTAAAAAGATCAGTATGTTAGGCTGGGTTGACTAGAGAAATAAATCCAGTGACATATATATGTGTGTGTGTGTGTGTGTATATATAAGTATATATATATGAGAGAGCTTTAGATTGACAAATAATTATGTATAAAGAAAACAACCAAGCCCATTCCAACTCAAGTCCATAAGTCTGATACTAGTCCACAAGTCCCTCTTGAGATTCATGCAGCCCTACAAGCAATGATGCAGAATGCAGGAAGATCACAGGTTGGTGGGTGCAGAGTCATGTGGATCCAAGGGCAGTGGATGCATCACAGGGCTCTGGCAGCAACCAGGGTCCACCAGCAGGAAGGTTGAAGGCAGAGAGAGAAGGGGAGGTTCCCAGGTCCTCCTGATGAGAAGGCCACACCCACAAGAAGACACCATCAGGCTGAGACCTGAATGACAGGTTGAATACCAAT